CTTTATTTTAGGCTTATATAATAATTTAATTAAAAAAGTTATAGTTAATTTTAAATGTTTCCTAGTTATACTTTCGGAATTCTTTTAATAAGGCTTTAAAAAAATTAGTTTTCTCGTAATTTTCTGAATTATTAATATAGTATTCTAATATAGCCTTAATCTAATTCTTATAAATAAAAGAGATATAATAGATAATTCTTTTTTTCTTAATATTATTAGAAATATAATAGTTCTTATATATATTTATATATTACTTTCCTGAAACTATAGTATTTTAGAAGTTTTTATAAATAATAGATTTAAATCCGGTACTAGTATATATTTATTCTTAGCTATATTAATCTTAATAATTTCTTTTATAATTAATTAAAGAGTTTCTATATCTGAGACTTTTACTAATAAGGTTCTTAAAAGGCTAATTTTCTATTTAAATATATTTTTTTAGTTTGGGAACCGGAATTTGAAAGAAACCGGTTAATAATAATAGATATAATTAAGATTCAAGCTTTAATATTAATAGTAATAAGGTAATAGTATTTCTAGTCTTATTTTTATTACTTATATTTTCTTTTCTATTTTATTAACTTAATACCTATAGTATTTCTCCTTATTTTTACTAAACTAGATATATTTAATAATACTATTAAAGGTAATAATAAAAATAATAAAAATAATTTTACTAATTTTTCTAACTTTTTTAATTTCTTTTTTCTTTTTTTATTTAGTTTTTTTTTCTTTTTCTAGAAGCTTCTTTAGATTATTTATATAATTTCTTATTTCTGATTTCTTTTTAATTTTTATTTCCGGTTTCTATTTATTATTTTATTTAAAATTAAAGGTATTTTCTTTTTTAGATATCTTTTCCGAATTTAGAAATAAACTTTTTTACTAAAACTAATATTATTTTTATTCTAGTCTTTATTATAACTAAAAATAATATATAAATTCATAATATAATTTTATTTCCGAATACTAAAGTCTATTTCTAACTAAGATTTAATTTATATTATCTTAGTATAATATTTCTTATTTTATTTTCTTTATTTCTTTTCTTTTTATAATTAGCCTCTATTTCTATTATTCCTATATATTATACTAGTAATTATATCTTATAGCTAACCCATATTTAAGTTATTAGATATATTAGAAATTAATATAAAATACTAAAATTAATATTTATATATTCTTAATATTTTGGCTTTAGGCTTAAGATATTATAATAGCTCTTTTTTCTTTAAATTTATTAAGCTTATAATTCGCCTTATAAATACTTTTTAGAACTTTATAAAAGTATTACTTTAATTATAAAGTTTTAATTTTCTTTATATTACTTATTATAAAATATATAAGAGGAAAACTATAATAAAACAAAAACTTATATAAAGTATATTAGAATATAAAATATAATTTAATAATAAAATAATAAGATTAAAAGTATAAATAATATAATATAAATAGTATATAATATATAAAAGCTTAATTAATTAAATACTAAAAAGGAATTATTTTTTAGAATTATAGAAAAAATAGCTTTTTTATATAATTTCTATAAGTTATATATAAAAGGCTATAGCCTTTATTATATAACTAAAACCTTAAAACTACTAAAATAATATAAATTTTAGAAAATATAGCCTATTATACTATATTAATTATATTTATTTTTTAGATCTTCTTTTATGAGCTATTATAAATCTTTTAGCTTTTTATAAATAATATTTTTTAATTATATTAAATACTATAATATTAGAATTTAATATTTATATTTTTAAGTATTTATTAGAATAATTATAAATATACTAGTTAATAGATTTATAAAATAATTATGAAATATTAATTTCTTTTTTTTGTTATTATTTTAGCCAAATCTTAAAGTTAGAACTTTAATATTACTTTTATAAAATCTATATTTATAAAAGGAACTATATAATAGAATCCGAATAATAATTATAAATTTATAAATATATTATATTAAAGCTTATTTACTTAAAAGAGATTTTAATAGCTAGTTATAAATAATTCTATAAGTTATATTATTTATTATAAATTTTAATTTAGAAATTTTAATTATTTAGAAATAGTTTCTAGTTTATTTATATTTTATAATAACTATTAATAAATTATAAAATTAATTCTTTTATATTATTAATTTAGATTTATAAATATCTATATTTATATATAAGTAATTTTATATAGAAATCTTTTATATATTATTTATAAAAGGCTTAAATAATTTTCTATTATATAAAAACTTAATTAGAATATTTAATATATTTTATTTTAAAATCTTAGTTAATTTATTTTAGTATTTTATCTTTTATAAATACTTTATAAATACTAGATAGCCTTATAAATTAGATTAAAGGATTTCAGAATTTATAATTATTTATAACTATTTATAAAAATTTATATTTATTTATAAATAACTTATAAATATTATTTTAAATATTTTAAAATTTAAATAAATCGAAAATATTATATTATTAAATATTAAAAATATATATTTTTCTTAGACAATTTCTTATAGAATTTATAATTCTTTATTTTTTTACTTTCTATTCTTTTTTTTTCTCTTTTCTCCTCTCTCTTTTTCTCTCTCTCTTTCTCTCTCTCTTTCTTTCTCTTTTTTTCTTCTTTCTTCTCTTTTTTCTTTTACTTTTTACTTCTTTCTCTTTTTTTTTTATTCTTTTTTCTTTTTCTTCTTTTTCTTCTTTTTCTTCTTTTTCTTGTTTTTCTTCTTTATTCTTTTCTTCCTTCTTCTCTTTCTCTTTCTTCTCTTTCTCCTTTATTTCTAATACTAAATAATTTAATTCCTTTTTTTTTCTAATACTTTTACTTCTTTTTTATAAAAAGCTATTAGCTTTTTATAAAGTTTAATAAAATAATATATTTTCTAAAAGAAAATAAATAAATAATAATAATAAGATATTTATATATTAGTTATAATCCGTAATAATCTATAATAAATATATATATAAATATATATATAAATAATTTACTAGAAATAATTCGGTTATTTATATAACTATTAATAATAATTTAATAAAGTAAATATGAATTAATAAAGGCAGAAATAATAAAGTCAAGAATTAGAACTAAAGCTAGAATAATAAAAAAGTAATAATAGTATTTAAAAATACTTTTTATATTAGTTATAGTCTATAAAGAATTAATAAATAAATATAAAAAGTATTTATAGAAAAAATAATAAATATCTTTACTATTATAATAATAGTTAATATAGCTTCTTCTAAATAAACTAGTTATAATTATATATATTATTTATATATTTAATTTACTAGTATAATATATATATTTAATAATATAAACTTAATTAATAAATTAATTAAGCTTAGTCTTTAGGTTAATAGGCTAGGCGGAATTAATAGTATGGCCGGACTATAAAACAGGTACTTATAATAAAGCTAGTAAAAATAGTATTATTATAATATAAATTAGATAAATAAATAAAATAAATAAAATAAATAGAATAAATATTATTATTATTACTATTATTACTATTACTAGTACTAGTAATACTATTATTAGTACTAGTATTAATAATAGTAATAGTAATACTAAAGCTAGAGCTATAGCTAGATCTAGAGCTAATATTATTAAAATAATAATAAAAAATAGAAGAAAAAAAATTCTATAAATTATAAAAAGTATTATAAGCTAAAGGCAGGCCTATAGCAGATATAAGAATTAACTTATATATATATTAAAGAAAAGAAGCTTTAGAATTCGAAATTAAAACCTATTTTATTTAGCTTATTTAGAAAAAAAATTGCTTTTAAAAAGTGAATTTTTAAAGTGAATTTAAAGTTAGTAAAGCTAATATTCTTTAAATAAGTATTTGAGGCATTTAATTAATCTCGTTAATTTATAGTTATTAATAATATTATAAATATTCTTTTTGTAATAATTAGTATTATATAATTAGTTTTAGCTAAAGAAGTTAGTTTTAGCTAAGGTTTTAAGCTATAGTTCAAATCAAGCTTGCTTCTAAAGCTCGGTATTTTAGTAGTCTTAGCTATACCTACTTATTTACTACTATACCTGACTTCTTTTCTTCTTAGCTTTAGACTCTTAAAACATTAGAATTACTAATCTTTATATCTCGTTTTATTATTTTATTTCTATTATTATATTTTTATAAAAAGACTAGAATTTTAAGGAATTTTTTATTTTTATTTTTATTTTTAATAAATAATAATAAGAAGAGGAAATATTTAAATAGGCTAAATATAAGCTAAGTATTAATACAGAATTAATACGGTATCGATTTAGTAATACTTTATATACTATTATATAATATAATATTAATATAATATTAATATTATAGTTAAATAGAGGCTGCCGAAAGTCTCTTCTTAAGTCACGGCCATACCGCGATTTAAAGAGTTCAAAATATGGCTCCCTATATACCTTTAAATCCTTAATAGAGAGAATAATAGAGTATATAGCTGGCAGTATTTGTGAAAAGGATTATAAATACAGAGGCACTGTATAGAACTAGAGCGAGCCCATTATTTACCTCAAAACATATTCATTTAAAGCCATAAAACGGCTTAAAGGACAACAGATGTAATGTAACTAGCCTATACCTTCTTGTACTTTAACATTTCGTACCTTCTGAGTTGAGATCAACCGAACTCAATGAGAACCCACTGGACTAAGTAGTTCGTCTTAGACATATGTAACAACAAGGGCATGATCGACAACAATGGTAGATTGGCAACAAAATAAAGGTTTTCATTTAAATACACACCTAAATGAAGGGGCAGGGAGCTCGTTGGTAAGGGCAGTTGCGCACGTAGTTGGATTAATGGATACATGTACTCAAACTCGCGAGCTTTACAAAACCCAACACCACCAAGTGATACATTCTCAAGCGAATTTTATTCTCCAAGATTAAAAGAAACCAATGGACAAAGGTTATGTTTATAGCAATGTCACTCTTTGAGTTGTATGAGATAGAGTAAAACAGTCAAAAGCTGGGTAAAACACTGTAGGAAAACAACAATATCCTGACTAACTAGAGAATCAAATGCCATCCATGTAACTAAATCACATAACCAAGCAACCACAACAGCCTCCTCGCCTCTCTTCCCTGTCATGGACAAGTTGTGCCCCATAATTGTTCATACCCATCTCAGTTCTTGGCCCAGTTTGAGCAGCATAGCTCCCATACCCAGGAGGCCCAACTACGCCATCTCTCCAGGTAGCCGCATATCCATCTGGCACATCCTCATTGAAGCGACATCTGCCTACGGGACAATGAAACCATTGCTGTTGTGTTTGATTATTAATCCCCATGCGACTCGTGAATTTGCATACACAACGTGGGTTTCCTTCCACGATTCCCTGGTAGTCGTTCCAAGAAACGAATTTGCTTTTCCCACCATGGCAAACGTCGTCACAATGGAAGTAGGGCCGGCCAACGTGACCGTGGGGATTTTGCGAGTTGACGGTTTGCGGGTTCGCGGTGTGGCCGCAGTTGCATGTGGGTGGCTGATTGAGCGGAAAGCTAGGCTCCATGATGAAGGGCTGTCTAGTTATCAGATAAGTGCTCTGTAGAGAGATTCGACATATTACGAACCCGTGTTTATTGCACTTCTGAGGGGTTGAGAGCTCTAAACAGAATAAAAAGATGACCAAGTCTGGTTGCTCAAGATTTAATTTTGCAGTTAGCGAGATAGGGGAGGTTCGTGCATCTAGACAAGCTCAAAGGCAATGACCATGAAAGCTGGAATTATCGTCCCTTAAGAGTGAGAGCACACTCGCTTATTATCCCCCCTTTTAGACACGACTTCTTGGCCGCGCCGCAGCCATGCCTGGTACTGCTTATTTCCACCTGCATATTTAACGTTTCAAGTATCAATACAGATACCCAACTAGGCTGAACGATATTATTATCTGAGACCTGAGCATTAAAAACCAATCGTAACAATTTTTAGGTTGCTCTAGTGCATATAAATCGATTTCGTCATCCTCCGGTGAGCAAAAGGGGAATTTTAATACATCCCGAGCGCTAAGCCAGCCAAATAGAAGAAACGGCAGAACTCGCCCAAAGCCGCGTATGATAACTCGTAGGATCTATAAAAATAGGTCCTACTCTTTGCGTAATCTGAAAAATCCTAGTCCAAACAAGATCTGATGAAATGGGAAATAACGGACGTGGACCTCGGCCCCGCTTCCTACCCCAAACGTGTGTCCAGGCCACAAAAAGAACATCCCCCCAGGCCAATTCTTCACATCTTGACTTGATTATTCGGAACTCAAAGCACCTTGAGTATGGAAGCAAGCAGAAGTACAAATTCTGCTCTCACGCCTTTGTTAATCTTTGAAGACGCAGTTATAGTCCTTTGGAACACTTGAAAGATCTCGTACCTGGGCGTATTGCTGTATAAAACTTGCCTTCGTACGTTCTATCACGCAAAATACACACGAAATTCTCCATCCGAAAAGAACAAGAAAAGTCTGACTTGTATTATTCTCTATTAGAGAGACACTCAGGACTCGTGATACAAGTGCTTGGCTTAAGAGAAAACGCGAAAGCGCAAACAGAATATTCTAGTTAAACAATATAAGAGCGCGAGAGATAACGGCCCGAGAATGCCGGTTGACGTTGTTTCGGCTGTTGTCACTTTATTCTTTGAGAAGCTATGGAACGATTATCCTTCATCAAAAATCATTCAGCACCCTTTGTTTGAATTTAAGTTTGAAATTGGAAGATGGGCCACACAACCCAATAAGGCAATAATGAAGGGGTTTGAACATTCTTGATGTCCTTGGCTCTGGGTGATGAGGATATCGGGAATCGGGTTGCCAAGGCATTCAAAGCTGCGTATCTGTCGGTATGTTGAGGGGGCGTTCTGTCAATCGAATCGACCTATTCTACAAAGCAAGTAGAGGGAACTTCTACGGAAAGAGTGTCTGTGTGAGAGGACGTGAACCTCGAATAGCGGACTTGAGGCTATAAACAGGCAGGAGCAGAGTCAGTCAAATCCACAAGTGTCCGGCGCGAGCCATCACGGAGGTTACAGGCCACCACAGGAAACATCGACGAATACAGCGAAACTTGCTGGCAACGAGACAAGTTCTAGCGAATACGGAGAAGAGGGTTTTTAATTGAGAAGTGGCACTGAAATACGGTACCTTTATCCACGCTTTAAATAACATGGAAGATGAAGTGAAATGTGTCAGCAAGAGCTAGATTGACAACAAGAACGACAACAAGACAAGCTACAGAACGTCGATAAGGGCCGAAACACACATTCTTAAACCCATAGGTATCTTCAGATCAGCTCCCTTTCCCTTCCACGTTGGTCTCTCAATGCCATGGGTGTGTCGGCAATCATAATCATCATTGCCCCAAACAGGATCCAATCAAGGAGGAGATGCACGCCATAATTGCATATTATCGCCAAGAGAGCCGTTGTCCCCATCCAACCTGCGGATTTAAATGGAAACTAGTAGACAACAACTAAAATTAAGTTAGAAAACCTCCTTGAAAACAAGAAACCAACCCTGCACGCACAACCCCAAACCTACCTACGGAGAATCAACTAAAAGTATCCTCGCCCCTCGCTTCACACCTTAAAACGAGAAAACTTCGCTTAACTCACGATTTGATGTCGCGTAAAAAGCATTAAATACACCAATTAATTTTATACTTCATAGTCTCGAAACGAGAAATCCTGGATAAAGATAGCACCAAATGGCGGGATTCTCTGTAGTGAAGGCAACACCATAACATCTAAGCGGAACCCCTTCACTTCCCCCGTGTCAATCGCTATTAATGTGTCTTGCTACAAAACGCACCTTCAACACTAAATTTCTCGACTCTCATTATTCCCACAGCAAAAGTAAACCAGGGCCAGAAGACATCGGACGAGTAGATGACAGCGAAGGAAAGGACGAGACTCCCCCTTTTCCACTTCCTTGGTTGCAAGCCACCTACTTGAGATGCACCAATGGCAAGCCTCAACCCACAGCACTAGTGACAGTCTTGCGATCTCGGACATGAAGCTTGGTGGCTCGGGCCTCAAGGAACGATTGCAAGCTTCCATCCAAGTCTCAGAAATCAAGAGCGTTAAAGAGGAAGCGACAGTCAAGCCTTGGGCTATCTTATCCTTATTGACTTCCCTGGCCGCTCATATAGAATAAGATGCCCCTATGGGCTAATGCTAGTATGGAAGATAATGAGATTTTGACCTCGCCACCCCTCGGGGTCTTTCACTGGCCACCGAGGGGTTTGTGCGCTGAAGCCCGCTAAGCGAGTGACCTCTCGAGGGCTGCGGGGTTTGTGCGTTGCCACTGACAAGCCTAAATCAACTCCAAATATGTACTGTACCGTCATGCGTCGTACACCTTACGAGTTAATCCTAAAACTAGAGCATGTGCCTGACACATTGCAGTTCATGGCACTCCTCGTCCATTCACACACAACCTGATTCGTGAAGCGCGAGTTCCAAGGCTGCGCTGTTTGTGCGCGATCGCCGATGAGTCAAAACAGACATCACACCACCCAATGATGAAAGGCGTATGCTTCATCTACAGTACGGCCATGCGCGGTGACAAGGGAGTGGCTGGGCTCAGCATGGTTCGGTGGTTTGTAATTGCGATATTTGTGCGTTTTCTCGGTCAGCGTCAGGTCGAGCCTCGAACCTTCCCTCGAGGAGATTTTCAAGGGAGTTGAGCACAGAAAAGATTCCGCATGCGACTTCCCATATCTCCCCAAATTCACTGATCTAACGACGCCTTTAAAAGAACAATTCACTTCCTTGCCCATATCACACACCCAACAGAGCCCTCCTCCTTTCCACTGTCAGGCGGAAGCGACGACTTGAAACAATGGAGCAACCCAAGAACCCAGCCACTCAGCTCGAGACCAGCACGACGACGGTATTGATACGCAATCTTCATTGCCCATCCTGCGTATCGAACATCAACGATGTCCTTTCCACTCTTGATCCGAAGCCGCTGTCGGTTTCTATCTCCATCGTGTCTCAAACCGTTGTGGTCCAGCACACACTGTCTTTGCCGGTTGAGAATATCGCACACGCGCTTAGGGAAGCTGGCTTCGAAATAGACAGTATAATTCCAGATCATATTACCGAGTCCGATGGAGCTGCAGGGGTTGGCATTGAGCAAGATGGCCATCAGCGAACGCCGTTGCATCCACAGGGAACGACAAGATGGGGAACTTCGGGAAGAAACAAGAAGGACGAGGAAGAGCGAGAAAGAGCGACACATTTAGAGAGATGTGATCAGTGTCGCGCGGAGCAGGAGGAAAATAGGGGATCAAAATCCATGATTCTGCCTACCTCGATGAGCGTCAAGGAGTTACCTCAGCAGAACGAACGTGGTGAAATGGACCCAACCCACGATGTCGCCGATGTAGCGCCTACAGATCAACCTTTTACGGTTGTAGGTACCCGCAAATCACAACTAGTACGAGCCTGGCTGTCGATCTCCGGCATGACCTGCAGCTCCTGCGTTGGCAATATCACTGAGGTTCTCCGATCTAAGACGTGGATACAGTCTGTTGATGTCAATCTTCTCACCAACAGCGCATCTGTGGACTTTTATGGCAGGGAACATCTTGGCGATATTACCGATGCCATCGAATCCACTGGGTACGAAGCAACAGTTCACCAGAACGAAGATATTGAGGATCAGACCACCGATGATTTATCACGGACGGACGATATATGGCGCGCATCTTATGCCATAGGTGGAATGACGTGCAGTTCTTGCGTTGGTAGCATTGAGAGAGCGCTTGAGATGTTTGACTGGGTTGTGAGGGTAGAAGTCAACTTGATCTCAAATAGCGCTACGGTGCTATTCAAAGGGAAAGGCCACCTGGGGCAAATTGCGAAGGCCATTGAAGAGATAGGATACGAGGCGACATTGAGTGCTATGGACGATTTGAACATGGCTCGCAAGCAGGACAATCAGAGGACGGTATCTATTCGCGTTGACGGCATGTATTGTGATCATTGCCCTTCGCGAATCTTGGACGCATTGAAAGCGGGCGGGAGCCGTGTGCAAATCGAGGGGACTCTATCAAGGACGAATCCCATCTTGAAGGTCACATACATTCCTGACGCACCCGAATTTACGATTCGACACATTCTTGCCACCATATCGGCAGCAGATGCATCTTTTAGAGCCTCTGTCTATCATCCTCCGACACTTGAAGAACGCTCCCAAAAGATGCAAGCCGAACATAGGCGCCGTATTTTGCTTCGTCTCATACTTTCTATCACGGCCGCCATCCCGACTTTTATAATCGGAATTGTCTTCATGAACCTTCTGCCATCTAGCAATACCGGTCGGCAGTACTTGATGCATCCGATATGGTCCGGTAACGTTAGTCGAGGGGAGTGGGCGCAGTTTATCACAGCTACCCCTGTTTACTTCTTCGCAGCAGACCTCTTCCACCGTCGCGCAATTAGGGAGATACGAGCGCTGTGGAGACCAGGAAGTCAGACACCAATCCTCCAAAGGTTTTACCGTTTTGGTAGTATGGATATGCTTATGTCTTGGGGTGTCTCGATTGCTTATTTCTCTTCAATCGCCGTGCTGGCTATCGATGCTACGCAACCTTCTGATGCAACAGCGATGAAAGCAAGTTCCTCTTATTTCGATGCTGTAGTGTTCTTAACAATGTTCCTATTGATCGGAAGGCTACTCGAAGCATATAGCAAAGCGAAGGCCGGGGATGCGGTGACGATGTTGGGGAAACTTCGACCGACTGAAGCAATCCTCACTAGTCACAGGGGAGGAGGTTTCGGGTACAACCACCATAATACCCAGGGACAGCAACAGTCAGTCCACATTGACCTGGTCGAATGCGGTGATACCGTTCGAGTCCTTCACGGCGGCTCTCCGCCTTGCGATGGCATTATTATCGAAGGCGAGTCGAGGTTTGACGAGTCGAGTCTGACAGGGGAATCCAGACTCCTGGCGAAGTCAATCGGTGATGAAGTCTTTTCCGGCACAATCAATACAGGCGACCCTATCTCTATCGAAGTCTCTCGTATCTCTGGAGCCTCTATGCTAGATCAAGTCGTTGCAGCTGTCCGAGAGGGGCAGACAAAACGAGCGCCAATTGAGCGCGTTGCCGATGTACTGACCAGCTATTTTGTCCCGGTTGTCACCTTCATTGCGGTCTCCACTTGGATTATCTGGTTGAGTCTCGGACTTTCTGGCTCGCTTCCTCAAAGCTACCTGGATGTTGGCGTTGGAGGCTGGCCGTTCTGGTCGTTACAATTTGCAATCGCCGTCTTCGTTATCGCTTGTCCTTGTGGCATTGGACTCGCTGCTCCTACCGCTCTCTTCGTTGGTGGTGGTCTAGCAGCCAAACATGGGATCCTCGTCAAAGGGGGAGGAGAGGCGTTTCAAGAAGCCAGCGATCTTGATTGTATTGTCTTCGATAAGACTGGTACGCTGACCCAAGGCGGAGAGCCTGCTATTACCGACCATGTCTTGGGTAGCGAGGAGGACTCTGACTTTACCTTTGGTGCAATTAAGGTATTAGAAGAGAGCAGTAGCCACCCGATTGCAAAGGCGTTAGTTTCATTCTGCGAGGCTAGGCAGGCGGAAAGACTTCAATCGACACGACTAACAGAAATTCCTGGCAAGGGACTAAAGGGTTCCGTGGTGTCGGCGACAACCAAGGAGAGCATCGAGGTCTTGATCGGGAACGAGCCTTTGATGATGGATCACAACGTTGATATCCCGAAATCATCCGTTGCTACCCTTGAGAGCTGGAAGGTTCAAGGGAAGTCGGTTGCGTTGGTGGCTGTGAGATCGGTCTCCAACGCCGAGACACCTGTAACAACATTGAAAACGGAAACGACTTGGAGGCTGTCAGCAATTTTTGCAATAGCGGATCCGCTTCGTCCTGAAGCTCGCGATGTCATTATGGCGCTTCGCGGCCGGGGCATCGACGTTTGGATGATATCTGGCGACAGCCCTACCACAGCGTTTGCGGTAGGCGATCTGGTTGGCATTCCAAGAACAAACATTATCGCTGGGGTCCTACCCAATCAAAAGGCAGAGAAGATCAAGTCCCTTCAGAAATCCTTGAAGAAGATGAATCGCGGTTATCAAAGAGCAATAATCGCCATGGTTGGAGATGGTATCAATGACTCTCCTGCTCTAACCGTGGCCGACGTGGGCATTGCCATTGGCTCTGGATCAGACATCGCCATTTCCTCTGCGGAGTTTGTCCTCATTTCACCGGGCCTGGCCCCCTTGCTCACGCTCATCGACCTCAGCCGAACCGTGTTCACAAGAATCAAATTCAATTTCGGCTGGGCCCTGGTCTACAATTTGCTTGCCCTCCCTGTAGCTGCTGGCGCGCTATATCCGATCAAGACCAGTGGAGGCCATGTCAGGCTTGACCCTGTCTGGGCTAGTGTAGCTATGGCATTAAGCAGTCTGAGTGTTGTCTGTAGCAGCCTTCTGTTGAGGACGAGGCTGCTGGTCGTGGGTTTTAGAGCGGGCAAGGGGCGAACAGGGTCTCGAGAGTAAACTGCGGAGTCTCTGCTGATTATAGGGATTCAAGGTTTGGGTTTGGGTTTTTTTATCAACTATTTGCATTTTCAAAAGCCTAGCAGTTAACTGTCATGCAAGTGGAGCTTGGCTGAAAGTTTCAGGTTCTCTCATGTCTGTCCGTGCAATTTCGATGGATTAAGTAGCAGCTGTTTCACGAGCCTCAGTTGGTTCCTTTTAGTTGCTTGGCGCATCTATAACACTAAACTAAAATGCTTCTAAAGAAAGAATTCTTCTATCTGTGATAAAGTAGTCAGGAACTTAAACCGGCTCTTAACTCCACTTTCAAATTTTATTCTGCAGGTGGGCCGAGTACGGGCAAAAGAGAAGGCTTTGTTCGCAGATACGGATTTTGATATAACAACAACCCCAACAATGACAATACTCTCCCCTAGCCACAGAATCGGCGCGGTCACAAGCCACGCAACACTGCGAGTCTGCGATATTCGAATCTCGTTGGGTAGTCCGTCATGGCGTACTTTCACGCTCCGTTCAAATCTCGCACTCAAGTGCAGAAGAGAACCATGAAAGCGAGGAATGAGGGAGAGTATTATAACCCACCTTGGGTACTGGCGTTGTTAATAAGGTGATGTTAGGGTTGAGATGGGTGCTCCACGTGATCTACCCGTGAATCACACACATTTGAATCAAAGGTAGCATACATGGTCCTTCCCCGCATTTTCGGCGGTAGAATGTTAAGAGCTGTTGGACACTGCTGCGAGAGGGACCTTTTTCTCAATTTCCCAATTCAAACCATCTCAGTCACATTCACAGACTCGGAGATTTTCTAATGCTCAAATTTATTCATCATCTATCGCAAAGCAAAGTCTTAGCCACCCATCATTGCATGCATTCGTGATCATCAGTCTTCTCGAAACCCAGCAGAAAAACAACGTGTCTACTGGTACAACGCAGTCTTTGTAGTGCAAGCATTTTGTAAAAGCAAGAAAAGCACGCTCGCTCGCTAAGTGCAGAATCTGACCATCGATGTCAAGTGAAGACAGAAAAGGAAGAAGTGTATAAGGTGATGGCCGTACAATCGCAACTCATCAACTCAACCCTCATTCATCCGGCCAAGATTCGCGAGAGGAATCGAGGCAAGATAGATGAGCGGAGAGTGAGCAGATCATTGACCATGCGCACCCGCCTGATCAACCGTAATCGTGCCCATTCCGCCAGCACCAGTACCACTGAGTCCCGAGTACAGATCGCGACCCTTCGCATCGACGGGAGGAAAGCGCGCCTTCAGCTCAAGATCATCAAGCGGAATGTGAGACCGGATATACTTCTCGCGCCCATCATCCACCGGATTGTAATCCCAGCTCGTAAACTTGCCGCTCCGCAACGCACCCCAGACCAGACGTCGTTGACGCTGACTCTGCAGAGCCTGCTCGGTGATTGCCTTCATGTCCCACTTCCGCTTCGCCTCGTCTTGGAACGCAGCGAGGACGAAAGAAACATGCTCCGTGTTGAGAGGGTGCTTGGATGAGAGACTAGCGAGGTTGATCTTCTCGAAGGGGTCGGATTTCAGGTTGAACAGTTGATCAGGGTCCGCTGGGCAGGTGACATATTTCCACTCAGCGCGACGGATCATCATCATCGGTGCAATCGTGCCTTCACCGCAGTACTCGGCAAAAACAGTGTCTGAGCCACCAGGACGATTCTCCAGATGCGGGAGCAAGGAGTTACCGTCCATGGGGAGCTTGGGCCAGAGTTTTGTGCCGGCGAGATCGACGAGGGTTGGCAGGATGTCGAGGGTAGACACGTTTTGTGAGACGCGATGAGGTGTGAAGAGTGATGGGGCGTGGATGAGCAGCGGGACGCGGACCGAGGCTTCGAAGTAGGACATCTTGTACCACAGTCCTCGTTCGCCTAGCATATCTCCATGGTCACCTGAGAAGACGATGATAGTGTCCTGGTCCAAGTGACACTCCTTCAAAGTCTCGAGCAGCTTGCCGATACAGTCATCTACGTAGGAGACAGCTCCGTAGTAAGCTCGCCGTGCTCGCTTGATTTGCTCGGGTGTGAACTCCTTTCCCCACAGATCGCAGACCTTCAACAAGCGTTGGGAGTGGGCATCTTGTTCGTCTTGAGGAATAGTGACTTCCGGGAGTGTAATGTCAACATCCTCGTACATGTCCCAGTACTTCTTCTCGATTGTGTAGGGGTCGTGCGGGTGTGTGAGGGAGACGGTCATGCAGAAGGGACGGGCATTGGGGCCTTTACGGACGTGGTCATAGAGGAATTGCTTCGATCTAAATTCTGTTACTTACTTTTCACTGAAGTTTTCAAGCGAGCACGAACCTATACATGACCTCCTCGTCATAGTCCAGCTGGTTGCTACGGACACAAGGGCCAGCCTGCTCAATCGAGCTCGCATTGTGATACCACTCCAATCGCCTGTCCGGCTCCTCCCAGTTGACGGCCCAACCATAGTCTGCAGGATATATATCGCTCGTCAATCTGCTCTCATAACCGTGCAATTGGTCACCAACAAAGTGCATCTTGCCAGCCAGAGTAGTCTCGTAGCCAGCTGCTCGCAGATAGTGGGCATAGGTCGGCACACTGCTATCGATTGTGCAGGCATTGTCGTAGGACCCGATCTTTGTTGGAAGCTGGCCCGAGATCATGGACATGCGGGAGGGAGCACAAAGGGGCGAGGGGCAGTATCCTTTGTCAAAGACAACAGCACCTGCAGCCAGGGCGTCGAGGTGGGGTGTCTTGATTTGGGAGTCCGGGTTGTGCATCTTGAGGAGGGGAGCTGCGAGCTGGTCGGCCATGATGTAGAGGATATTGGGCTTCTTTGTCACAGGGACAGATCGGTCGGGGGGATCCATGGTGAAGCTCTCAACCTGCTCTTGTCGTGGCGACAGAGGGACAGAGTTGAGATCGGGTGCCATAGTGGCTAATCGTCCGCAGGGGAAGTAAACGCAGTCGACTCTCGACTCTCGATGCTAGATCGTCAGTGTTCTCGACAGAGGAGGAGTTGGACCAAAGGGATAAAGAAAGATCTTGCGAAGAAGACAAGATGCAACGTGGATGAAGGGGAGAGGGAGGGAGAGGGTTTGAATGGGCGGTGAACAAAGGGAAAGGAAAGGGAGGGGACTGGGAGTAGGGAGCAGTAGGACAGGACAGTCAAGCTGAGGCGGCAGCATTGAGGCGAGAAGATCCGTGACAATCGCAACATCGATGGCCCAAAATTCGTGATTGCACGAGACACTTTACCCTTTCAAGCGAGGTCCCTGCATGTCTTATCGGCCCCGTCAAGCGCCAGGCATCAAGAAATGGACCCCTTTTTTCTTGACAAAATTTATATGCTTCCCCTCCTCTAAATGCCTCCATTCTTTGTCACCAGCCCTCATTTACCAGTATCAAGGCTGAGTTCGAAAGTTGTGCTGTTCTAGCCTCCCCCTGCCCAGATCCCCAAGTTGGAATGGGATCACAATTGCCTGATCTGGATAAAGGACCCTAGAAACCAGGCATCTACACCTCCACGGCCTGCCTTTTATTCGACGGTCGCACTCCGGTCTCGCCCGGCATTTCGTGCTGGCACGTGGACATGCTACAGCGCATGCACGGCGTTGGATTTGTCAAGCTTGAGCTTGGCCACTGTTGATTGCTTTTCCTTTCCTCCCGCCTCCCCCATGGTCACCCTGGCTCAACTACTGTATCTGACTGTGCTGTGACGCGGCTGCGAGGAAGTTCCTCAGCCTTGCAGACGCCGCCTGGTCACTCTTCTGCCATTGCCCACTAGCATTGCGGCATTTCGTCAGAGGGAGCCTTGCGATGCGAGCTCCCTTCAAGTGCGACCCCGGTTCCGACATTGTACTGCGTAGGCTGGCCATGAGGGGTGGGTTTCATAGGTGGAGAGGTCTGATTAGCATTTTGGGACATCTAACGCCATCTGTGAGTGTGGGTATTGGGTCGCCAATGGAGGAGGGCTGATTCCTTAGCGGATGTGGTGACACATGTGGGGGTCAGGAGAGGGGTGGCACGACTTTATTCTGTTCGGTTCTGTCTTGGGGTGGGGGGCTTAAAGATGATAAAGCACCTCTCCTGATCCAGCTTATATCCCTTCCTCTCTTATCAGTGTGTGTGTACAAAGTCTTTGATGCAGTGTTTAAGTTCGCGATCGAGCACGTGACTGGTTCAGGAAGCAGCTGATCTCAATCTGTTTCGTGAAGGATATCGTGCCTAGAAAAGGCGAAGTGATCCTGACAGAGGCTTCCAACATCGCCGACCTCTATGGCGATTATCTCGATAGAGACGCCGAGATGCAAAGTCATCTTCCGAATCTGGACAACTGATGCGAGCCATTCCCGGGGATGAGACTAACAGGCTATGTCCAACACACGTTGCCGAGGAGCTGAGCTGACGCGACTTTCGCATTTCCTTCTCTTGTTGACTGTATCTTACTTTCCCTCCCTCGTTCAAAGCTCCATCACGATATTGGTAACGTCACCCCAAAACCTCGTTTATACCCTATCACGACCCTAGAGCTGATGTTCTCGTGGAAAACAGCTGTATTCGGGTGTGTGGTTGTATTACGTCTAAAGACAGAAGAAGGAGCGCGGAGCTTGAGACCAAGCTGCGGGGTGCCGCGCTAAGCTAAGAGTCATGTGACGACACAACATACCCCCAATATAGGAAATCTCAGGTGCTTTGAAGAGTCTCTATTCGCTGTCGACCCCCGGTAAGGCCCGTGCAGGCGTGGTTTATCAATATCATGATGGAGCTTTGAACCAGAGGGGGGATAGTATCACATAAATTACACCTCAAACTCTAACCTGATTTGGTGTGATTAAGAAAACTTCGGGTGAAGGATAATAATGCTTGTCTTGTGATAAATATTTGCCCTTTCACTTCTGTCAATTAAAGACTTCGCTATTGCGTAATGGCGGGAGACACTGTTGGAAAGGTTGAACCACATATCCGTGAGATTGTACGCATTCGCCCTGGGGTGAATATCGGAGGTGGGGAGCTTCACAAATTGAACGAGCTTGCGGGACGAACGAGTAAGTAAAGACAAGGACCTTCAAGACAAGCGTTGCCGCCTATACAGGCTTACTGTGGCTGAAGAGGTTTGCAGTCAGCAGCCAGCAGTCATCAGCGAATATTTCACAAACATTTTCAATCCCTAACCAAAATCGGCTTCCACTTCGAATATGTTGGTATTATAGTCAACCCCTTTTTTTCTTGTGCTCCGCATGCAGTCAGTAAGCTTGCTGATAATTTCTGTAGCAACAATCCTGCGATTTATACAACTAATGCAGTTCCAAATATGAATTGCATCTGGGGAATGTTGAGAAAGACCAACATATTATGAAAGTAGGCACAAGCAGCAGGAGATATTATGTCCTATATAATAGCCACTTTTTGCTTTATCCATCCCTTAGTGAACTCGTCGTTGGGGGGATATCTCGCGATTCCAACTCTTTGGTACTCGATATACTCGCTAAAATGAACATTCTTTCTTCCCGTTGGTTCCAGTACCAAGGCAAATATTTCATGGGGTCCGTCCTCATCCTCCCATCTCCCCAGCTGTAAGTATATGGCCTCAGGGTGTGGAAATATAGCAGAATCAGAGCTGTATACAGATGGATCGTCAAGGGTACATCGTAGTTGGTGCGGATAGCCCCCAAACCCCTCAGGGCAACCAATATAGAACGGATCGGAGAGGGTGTTCAGCTTCCTGGAAGGCCCTTCTAAAACCACAACCGCTTCTTTGACCTGTCCGTACGGATCTTGCGCCTCATTCACAACCTGGACATCAACAATCTCAGCAGTGTTTTCATTGACTAAAAGCCTTCTACCAAGATAACGATCATACAAAAGATCATGTCCGTTCAGTGCATCAAGGGTTGCCCATGACCAGGTTGGACCGAGATACTCGGAAGACTTGATTCGGGCGCCATGTCCGATCCAACAGAGACCATTTATAAAATCCTCACGCCAGAGGCCGCAAAAGTATTGAGCGTTCGTACGCCTTGCAAATTCCTTGGCGAGTCCAGCTGTCCCAGGTAATCGATCTCGATCAAAAGACAACTCCCTATCCAAATAACTGTTCAACATTTCATACCACCAATGGAAGAACTGCTCATTCTCTTTATCCTTTTCATCCCCTTCTTGGGGCAATCCATGTTGATATCTTTTATCCCAGCGTACTGGTAAGTTGAACAGCAGTTTAGTCTTGGACATACTACGTACGCAGAGCCCCTCGGTCCGTGGCTGAGACGGGCAATCTTATGTATATGATTCATGGTTGCAAATCCAGTGAATGGCGCCTCCTGTGTAAAGTATGCTCCGTGGCGGAAGAATTTCCTCTTGAAGCGTCTATGCCCGTTTTTCAACGAAGTTTTGACCTTGTACATGACTCTCCCGTAGCGAATTTCGATATCTGGCTTTGTCCCTCAAAAGATCTGCTGAGTCGAAGATACCGTAAGTAGGGTCCTTGGCGGCCGCCGCGATGATATTGAGGCTCGAGCCCGTATAATATTGGTCCATTTTCGCTGACTCTGCGTTCCAGTCGTCTACTGAATCCTGCAAAATACAAAGAGAATCAATCCAGAGATATCTATATCCCAATTTCCTTACGATTGTGATAGCATCTTGGAAAACAGGCGGTAAGGTTGTGAGATAGAGAGCTGTCTCTCGTTGCTCGAGATTGTAAGTTGTGGTAATAGGTTGCTGGTAACCTTTACCCCAGCAGCAGCTTAGAGTAGCATACTCTCCTTTCTTGCCATGCGTGACCAATATCCGAGGTGGAGTTGCCAAGTTGCCGATATCTAGGACTCGGGTGGGCATTGTCGAGGGCGATGCAGGGTCGCGGTTACATCTCTCATGATTCTCGATACACCTTGTCGTCCATTGTAACACCATCTCAAAACACGCAGGAGATCTACAACTTCTAGGGATACTCAGCCCCACCTTCGGATTGAATCTCTCCTCGACATCTTCGTCTGTTCAACTTTTCAGCAACTTCTAACCCAGGTCGAAGAAAAAGTCCTTACCTATTGTAGACCGCCGAGATAGGAACTGGTGGACTGTCCTTAGCTGTTTACCCTCAAAGGCGAGGTGTAGGTAGGAATCCTCTCCCTCTCCGCGCCGGACAGCTCTGCAAAATATTTGCATGTCGTCAGTCTCATGGTCATGGAGACCGGATTGCTTCTGCTCCACAATTTCCCCCGGCGACCGCTCCACAATTCCTGAAACGACTGCAGAACATATTTCGCAGCCAGCTTTCGCGAATCCTGCCATTTCTTGATAGCTGCTGTGATGCTTCATCTCTGCCCCGTTGATATTTGCATCCAGCTGGGCCATCAGGCTGCAGCGCTCACACAGCCTGCTGGGCATCGTGACCACCTATCGAGAATTTTTAGGGTTTGGTGCTAGCTGCAATCCACACAGCAAATTCGCCAGGGTGAACGAGATCGATTTGCGAAAGCTTCCTCTACGATGTAGGCAGTGTAGGCATTGCCAGGGGGTGGCCACGGAGGTTAGACAGCATTGGTGGCAGGAAGTTTCATGCGAGTCATCTGTTAGTCAGCAAGCCACCTCCCACTGGCTCACTTCCCTTTGTGGCCTTGTAATTTTGGCAGATGAGCCATGAGTCCACTGGCAGAAGTCAAGGAAGCGACCTGTGGGTATCTCAATATATTATACATTCTCAATAGAGCTAAATGATTCTTTCCCTATTATTATTTTGTCTCTTATTGTCAAAATACATTTCTTATATAGCTTATATTTTAAATTTAATAATTCAAGATATTTTCAAAGTTCTTATGAAAAATAATTATAATACTTCTTATTTTACGGATTTATATAAGCAAGAAATAAGAGAACTTAAAGATAAAGAAAAGATAAAGAAAAGATAAAGAAAAGATAAAGAAAAGATAAAAAACAAGTAATAAGTAAGTTTCTTATATAATTTATAAGATAATTATTAATAAATTATAAATTTATTAATTTAAAGAAAGATTAGAAAAACTATTATAAGTCTTAAATATAATTAAAAAAAAAAGACAATTATTAGAAGCTTAAATTAAAGCTTTTAATATAGAAAATACTCGATTTCCTTAATTTAGTAAATAATTAATTTTTTAATTATTAATTAATACCAATTATTTATAAATTAAAAAATATAATAGTTTTTAATTTATTATATATTAAAGAACTTTATATATATATATAAAGCTATTAAAGTAATTATAAATAATTTTAATTTAAAGGCTTTTAAAAATTAAAATCTAGTTTTAATTAATATTAAAATATAATAGGCACACGTAATGGCATATGGACAGGTATTAGATATCGTGGATCTAGTTTCCTATTTTGGGTATAGCTTATGATCGGAATCATATGGATCATATAGGATTTCCTAATTAAGTAAAGGGCTTTGCATACCTGGCTAAGTACTAGGAAATATATAGGGAGACGCTTCTAGCTTTGGAAGGGGCATTAATTAGTCTCTTATTAGAATTAATTCTTGGAATCAGTTATACTTGCAAGTATTACTCTATAGCTTACTTACCTTGACTACTTATATATTACCCTGCTATTACGTGCCTTATATTCTAATTAATCTAACCTTCGGGAAGCAGTTCGTTACGAGGTAGTTAAGCCATTAACAGACAAAACCACTAATAGCTAGAGTATTAACCAGAAGAAGCGCCTCTACTATTACTAGGGTAATCCAGTCGGGTATCCAGGAGAGTGCCTAGTTAGCTACTCTAGCTACCGCCTAATTAGGAGAAAGAAGTAGAACTCAGATATCCCCAGAACTAGCTAGCAGGATAATAATAATAAAGAAGCTAGTAGCGGCTCATTATTATATTACTAAGTTAGAAGCAGAGATATAATAGAGGAAGAATCTAGAGGATCTGGAAGCTCAGATTCGCTATCTTAAAGATATTCGGATATCTATTATAGAACCTATTATACTACTAGTAATATATTTAGTTTATAAGACTTTAAAAACCCGAGAATTACTAACTTATAAAAGGAAGAGTATTAAGGAAGTCCAGGACTTCTTTTACTAGGCAGAGCTAAAATAGTATAAAGACGGCAGGATTACCTGGGCTATAGATATAATAAAGGTTATATATTATATTTCTTACTTTAAGAATATAGCCAGGAATATCTGGAAGTATAGGGAGTAATTAGTAGATATTAATACTATAGATTAGGAGACCTTTATTAAGTTTATAAAGGATTCTATCTTGGATCCAGAGAACTATAGTAATAATACTCTTACTAAGTTTAAGAATATAAAATAGCAGCCAGATTAGAATATCTAAAGCTTTATATTCTACTTGGATAGCCTATTAAATAACTTGGGATATACGGGTTTATTATAAGAGCGGGATAACTTATTTAGTAGCTTAAGGTAAGAGATTCGGAACGAGATTAATTACTAAGGAAATACTTTACAAGAAAGGAAGAAGCTTATTTCTATAGCTATAAGGGTCAAGAATAACTTAAACTAGTTTGCTTAACGGAAATATAATAATAAGCTAATAAGTTAATAAAAGAAAGGAAATTAAAGAAAGAAAAAAGGAAATAATAAAAGGAAACAGAAGAGAAGTATATCTCTATTACAAGGTTTATATAACCGGAATAGTAAAAGTATAGTAACGGGGTCTAATATAGTACCTGTATTAGGATCTATAAGACCGGGTATAACTTGCTTTATTTACTAGAAAAAAGGTTACTATATTACTACCTGCCTAAATTAGAGAAAACCAATTTACTATAATTATAATAAATCTGGCTATAAGATATATAAGTACCTAGAACTAAAGAAGCCGGAAAACAGGTATATTCTATAGTAGTTATACTCGTTTATACTATAGAGGGCAAGGCCCCTAAAATAAGAATAATAATTAAGGTTACTATTAAGATAAAGAAAAATAAGTAAAGAATTAAAGTATTAGTTAACTCGAGTATAAAGGCTAATTATATAAAGAAGAAATTAGCCTTAAATATAGGTATTCTATTAATATTAAAGGTAATTCTCTTATTCTTACTAGAGAGAAGAAGGATTTATTTATATAGAGATTATATTCTTAGGGTTATTACCGAGAATATACTAGGGAACTAAAAAGAGGCTAATATATATTTTATATTATATGATTTTGATCTGAACTATATTAATATAATACTTGAATTCCTATAGTTCTACTAGATTAATTTCCTAATTTCTTTTAAGGAAGTAATATAAAGATACCAGATTTAATTATAGAAAATTAAAGTTCTAAATACTAGAAAGTTTACTAAAGTAATAAAGTATAAGATATATGTTTTTCTATTAATTACTTATTCTATAATAGATAGCTAAAGAATTATTACTATTACTATAAACGGGATAGCTATATTTCCTAGGAAGTATTAGGACCTTTTCCGAGTATTCTCTATAGAGGCTATAGGTATATTACCTAATTACTATATAGTTCTATATATACTTTATTAGAAAGAAAGCTTAAAGTTCTTCGGGAATATCTTAATACTAGTTTAAAAAAGAAATAGATCTATTATTTTACTAGCCTAGCTAGTACTTTAATTATATTTGTTCTAAAGAAAAAAGGCGGCCTATATCTATATATTAATTACTAGGGTCTAAATAGGATTACTATTAAGAACCAAATACCGTTATTATTTATTAGTAAGATAATAGATAGGCTTTATAAAACAAAGATATATATAAAGCTAGACTTAAAGAATACTTACTATTAGTTATAAATATAAGAGAATAATAAGTAAAAAATAGTATTCCGAATATACTATAGATATTTTAAATACTATATTATATTCTTTAGACTATCTAATACTCTAGTAATATTCCAGATATATATTAATTATATACTAGTAGGCCTTATAAATATTATTTATATGATTTATCTAGATAATATTTTAATTTATTTAGAGAATCCAGAATAATATATAATAGTAGTCTAATATATACTCGAGTAATTATAATAATACTAGCTCTTTATAAACTTGGCAAAATGCGAGTTTAATATAAAGAAAGTAAAGTTCCTGGAATTTGTAATTAGCCTAGATAATATAGAAATAGAGGCTAGCCAGGTTATAGCTATTAGGAAATAGCCGGCCCTAAAGAATAATATCCGAGAAGTCTAAGTATTTCTGGGTTTTACTAACTTTTACTAGAGGTTTATCTATAAATACTTTAGAGTAATAAAAGAATTAACTAATTTACTAAAAACTAGTAGAAAACTATTATATTAGTTTAGCTAGATAAATAAGATAGATAAGGCTTTTAGGAAGTTATAAATTATATTTATAATAGTACTAATTCTTTATTATTTTAATCTAGCCTTAAAGATTTATATAGAAATAGATACTTTAGGATTCGTAATTATAAGTATGATTTCCTAGCTCTTTAGTAAAAAGGCAGAAGCTAGATAATATCCTATTACTTTCTATTTAAAAAAGATAACTATAATTAAAAGCAGGTATAAGATATATAACTCTAAACTCTTGGCTATTATTCTAGTATTTCGTACTTAGTAGTATTACCTAATATATATCTAATATATTATTATTATTAAGATAAATTATAATAACTTGAAATACTTTATAACTAAAAGAAAACTAAATAGTTAATAGATAAGATAAGTAGAGAAGCTAGCTATTTTTGACTTTGTTTTAGAATATTAGCCGGGATATAGTAATTCCGCTAATAGGCTATTAAGGAGGCCAGACTTTATAGTAAGTATAGATAAAGATACTTTATTACCTATACTTTATAATAAGCTATAGAATATAGAATAGAGAATCTTATAGGTAATAGTAATAGGATATTATATTATTCCTATAATACTATAATATAAGGTCCAGGAAAGAGGAAATAAGTACTTTTTAATTAGTAAGATACTAAGGAATTCCGAAGAGGAAGTCTATTTTAGTAATAGAATAGTACCGGAAATACTATTATTTGAGCCTATTACTAGTATAGCTAGTTATAAATAGTACGTATTACGGATTCTAGTTATATAAGTAGCTAGGTTCGAAATAGTACATAAGGAAAGTAGAAAGATATTACTTGAATTACTATTATAGTATTAAAGGCTTAATCTATTAGTATAATACTAGTAGTATAAATAGTTCTTAAAAGAGACCTTTACTAGAGCTATTAAGACTTGGGAACTTAATATATCTGAGTTATTAAGATATTAGAGTACTATTTATATATTAAATAAGCTAGTTTTTAAAGAAGAATTACTATAAGCTAACTATAATAATCTTATAGGTAAGTATTTTAGTACTAGTAAGATACTAGAGATTCTCTAGAGAAAGTACTTCTAGTAAAGTATAAGAAAGGATATAAAAGACTATATTAGAACCTATTCTATATATTAATAAACTAAGGTAAAGAGATATCTGCTATATAATATACTTAGTTTATTTCTTCTTTTCTCTAAGCTATAGCAAGAAATTACTATAGACTTTATTACGGGGCTGCCTTTTTCTAGGTTTTATAGTAAAGTATATAATTCTATATTTATTATTATTAATAGGTATATAAAAATAGTATAATATATTCTAATTACTAAGGAGGTCTCGGCTCCTGAACTAGTAAAGCTATTTATATATTATATTATTAAAGACTTTGGTATATTTACGGATATAATTTCTAATAGAAAATCTATTTTTATAAGTAAGTTCTAATTAAGTCTATATTTCTATTTAAAGGTTTAATAATAGCTAAATATAGTATTTTACCTATAAACTAATAAATAAATAGAGAATCTAAACTAAACTCTAGAATAATACTTGAGGTACTATACTAGTTATTAGTAAGATAACTAGATAGTAAAGCTTATTCTTATAGAATTCACGTATAATAATTCTATATATTTAATAATAGGAATATTTCTATTTTATATCTTATATAAATTCTATTCTAGTATTAAATTATATATTAAGGATAATATTCTAAAAGAAAGGGCGCCGGTAATATAGGAAAAAATATAAAGGATTTAAGTAAAATAAGAAATACTAGAGAAATAATAGTAAGAAATAGTAGATATATAGAAAAAGTACTATAATAAGAAATATATTAATAAGAAGTTTAAGATATATAATAAAGTTATGCTTTATATAAAGAATATTTAATAGCTATAACCTAGTATAAAGCTAGTAGATAGATATCTTGGTTTCTTTAAAGTTCTAGAAGTTATAGAAATATATAGATAGGTATATTACTTGAAATTATTATTATTATATTAGATCTATAATATTTTCTATATTTCTTTCTTAGAACTATAGTACCTATAAGCTAGTACTATAGTAGAACTAGAGCTAGTCGAGATTAAGGGCAAAGAGGAATTTGAGATAGAATTTATTATAGCCTATAGGAAAAGTAGAAAAGAAAAAAAGTATCTTATTTATTAGAAGGGCTATTTACTAGTAAATAATATATAGGAATTACTAAGTAATCTAGAGAATATAGCTTAAGAATTATAAGAATATTTAGAAAAGAGTAATATTATAATACTATTAGCTAAACGGAAATATAAAAGATAAATACTTTTATTAGGAAACTATTAAAAAATCATATATTTATTCTTGGAAAAACTATATAAAAATTATTAAAAACTCTAATTTCTATATTTTATAAATACCTTATTCTTATAATTACTTTCTATTATTTTTATTATTATTTTTATTAGAATTCTCTCGAGAAATAGATAATAAATTAGCCTATAAAGCTATTAGCTATTAGTAAGAAATAAGAAAGAAGTAAGCTTACTTAATATTAAAGAATATTAATTATATTATTAAGAGTATTTTATATTTATATTAAGCTAGTAAGAATTACTTAATTTATTTCTTGAATTATTAGGGGAATCTATTAGCTTTAAATAATAGCTTTAATATAAGAAATATATATAGTTTAATATAAAAGAAAGGCAGTAATAGCTTTCTTTCTTTCTTTCGGGTAAAGAATAAGAAAGATACTTATATATATTAATAGCTTAAAGAAAATAGTTTAATTATATTATATATATTTAAGGAATCTTAAATAGTATTAGAATAAGAAATAAAAGAAGGAATTTATAACTTATAGGATTATACTTCTTATTCTTGAAGTAATAGTAATTATATACTAAGTAATTATTACTCTTAATATAAATAAGATTAGGAAACTTAGTAATATTCTTGGAATATTAAAGATAGTAAGGGTAAATTAAGAATATAGGAATATTAGTCAAATAAATAGTAATAGGCTAATAAGTACTAAGAGAAGTATTTATCTTAATAAATAAAGAAGTAAAAGAGGAAATTAGAAAGAAACTTAAATAAAGCTTAAATAAGGCTTAAAGAAGCTTAAAGGAGCTTAAAGAAGGCTTAAAAAAAAAGGTAAGGGATAAGGAGGAGCTAGATACGGTATTATAGTTAAGGAAAAGGAAGATTAGTTAGTAGGAAAAGAGAGGCCTTTTTATAATACCCTTTTTCCGAATAGTAATTACGAATTCGGAACTAGCTCTATACCAGAAATATCTAGAAAATTCTAAAGAAGGAATTTATAAATAAACCAGAAAATTAGATTAACTTTTCTAAACTCTTGGGCCTATAAAGTAATAATTTATTTATAAATAGAGGCTAAGTTAGGATTTACGAACTAATTAGGAGATCGGATAAGCTTTATATCTAATAGTATATACTATATTTATATTACTTTTATAAGGGGAAATTACTAGAGGCAATTTACGAACTAGCTAGGAAGGGTTAGTAAACTATATTCTTAACTCTATTACCTAGTATAATAATAGGGCAATTATAGGGAGTTTTTGGGGAAAGCTAGTAGCCAGGAAAGTTTTAAAGAAATATTTATAAAGCTATTTATAGTTTTCCTAGGCCTTTTGGGAATAAGGGCCCAGAAGAGGGATTAATATAATAGATATATATAATAGTATATAGACAGGTATTAGATATTATAGATCTAGTTTTCTATTTTAGGTATAGCTTATAATCGGAATTATATAAATTATATAGGATTTCCTAATTAAGTAAAGGGCTTTATATGCCTGGCTAAGTACTAGGGAATATATAGGGAGACGCTTCTAGCTTTAGAAGAGGTATTAATTAGTCTCTTATTAGAATTAATTCTTGGAATTAGTTATACTTACAAGTATTACTTTATAGCTTACTTACCTTAACTACTTATATATTACCCTGCTATTATGTGCCTTATATAAAATTACTTATTTAAATAATATTTATTAAAGCTATAACTAAATTATAAGCCGAAAATTACTTTATTATATATTATATTATATTTAAGATATATAAAATATATAATAAACTTGAAAATTTTAAAAAGAAATTTAGAATAAGTCTTTTTTTAAATTTTTCTTATATTATTAATAATATTATACTAATTTTTAATAAAATAAAACATTTATAAATATTATTAATAAAAGTATAGCTAAGCTTCGAAAATATTATTTTAAAACAAGTATTTTAAATAATAAAAGTAAAGCTTTATATTTGGCTTTTACTTTTAATTCTCGAATTAAATAAGAAGAATTAATTAGTATTATAATATAAATATAAAACAAGTAGTAATATATAGAGATAGAATAGGCTTTTATAGCATGGAATTATAGTATATAAGAAGTGGAATTAGAGAGTAAAGGTTAGTTGATTTCTAAGAACTAAGAAGGGCGGGAAATATATATATAAAACCGGATATATAAATATCTAAAGATTATTTAATTATACTATATAACTAATAAAGATAAAATCCCTACTATAGTATTAGCTTATCTAGTAATATATCTTCGGATATATATAATAAATTGCAACTAATTATAATATATAAGTAATTTCTTTTATTAGTTTTTATTAAATTAAAAACTAATTTTTAAATTTAAATATAAATATAATTATAATATATTTTAAACTAGATCTAATATCTTGAATATTAATATAGCCGATTCCGATTTCAATTCCAATAACTCAAATATATATATTATTAGTTTATTCTCTAAAATAAAAGACAAATTAATAACTTATTTAAAAAAAAGAGAAAATAAAAAAAATAAAAAACTTTACTTAAATTTTATTAAATAATTATTTAATATTATTTAATATTTTTTTTAATATACTAGTACTAATATATATATAGACTAAATCTTTAGATTATTAGAAGTCTAATACTGCTAGATTCCCTATTTTAGCTTTAATAACTAAGAAATGTTTAGGAATTCCGGCTTTTTCGATTACTAGTAAGAGATTCTTCTCTTAAAATATTCTTATTATATTTAAATTATATAATAGATTTAATAAAAGTATTTTTGAGATAATATCTTGCTCAAAAAGCTAGAGGTTATTTAAAGATAAATTAGAAAAGGCTAAAAAAGAAGAGGAAAAAGAAGAGGAAAAAAAATTAAAAAATAAAGATTTTAAGAAGAATAATTAGTTTATTATTATAGAAAATTAGTATTCAAGCAGTCTTATATAAGTACTAGCTTAGCTTGTATAAGGCTGCTTAATATATACCTTAGTTCTTTTTTTTTAATTTAAATATATGCTGATTTATTACAATCACGTGACTTCCACGTGATTGCTCATGGTTATTCAAGTTATTCATAAATAATTATTCTATTCTACTCAAATTATTTAAGATATTCGTTACTCTTATATTATTTTATTCAAGTTATTCATGAATTATTCATGAATAACTCGAATAACTTGAATAATCCTTTGACACACTGTTGGTGTTCGAATACTGACCAAATGCTAGCATTCAAGGTTGCGAAACAGGGCCTTAAGCATTAATACCTTCGTCAAGCACTACCTAGATCGAAATACCAATAACGATATTCAGAACATATATCGGGCTAGAACCTCAAAAGCAACTGATGACGTATACATGCTCCATACATCGGTTGATCGACCCCTAGCGCTCGCGGATCCTGATCCAACGCAACCTGCGTTGGTTAATCACCTTCCATGCATCATCAAATACTCTCTTAATGCCTGTCCAATTGACAAAGTCAAACCTAAGATCTTTTTACAATAAATAATTTAAGACTATTGCTAGGATAGCTCGAACAGCAACAGACCACAGCAGTGATTGATCCCATTAGAAATTACTTGGCTACGGACAGAACCTAGCCCTAGGTACAACACGGAATAATGGATTCATGATCAATTTTATCATAACATAGACCCGTATCCTTCTGTATTCTCTCACCAACCCAGCTCTAAGTGGTATCGACTGAAATTCTATAGTGAATACATCACTAATCTTTCGTCGAAAACAACCCTGCAGGCACCAATCTTGACCTCTCCGCCATCAATCTCGCCAGATCCTGAATTAACAACGGACTCATCAACTCAACAGTCTGGACATACGACTCCAACTGCTTCAATACCCAATTCCGCAGCTCAATTGCAATGAGTGAATCCATACCGTAGCTCGACACCGACTGCGCAGGGTTGATTTCCTCAGCCGATACTCCCAAAAGCCGCGACAGCTTCTCTGCGAATGCAGCCAAGACTGTTTGAACAGCCAGATATTGTGTTGTGGCCGCCAGGAGTGCCGCACAAGCATTAACCTCACTGGTACCTGCATTCGTTGTACCCAGGCGTGAAGAAGTATTCCAGATGTGAGAGAAACGGGGGTCAGGCCGCTGCGCAGCACTCTCTTCAGAACTAGATGTTGGGTCGGCAGGATTGACTCCAACGAGAACCTGCGCCATTGTTGGGTTGCTTGCAAGCGGGTATGAAATTGCATGGTTAACGAGTGCAAAGACCTCCTCCATGCTAACGACACCTGCGCCATAACGCATTGCGTGCTTCGCTGCTACTTGGTGCTCTGCTGCATAGCCTTCTGAGCTAACAATGCATAGGTCTATACTGCAGACGGGATGATTTTTCGAGGAAAGACAACGTGCGAAGGCATCTTGAAATGTGCTGCCCGCGCTGTAGTTGCCCTGGCCATGACTGCCAACTATCCCACTCACACTCGATAGGAGAATGAAGAAGTCGAGTGCACCGTCGAAAACGGAATGCAAGTTCAGGGTCCCCGTGACTTTTGGTCCCAGCGTTGTTTGCCATTGGGCATGAGTCATATTGCTTATGGCGGAGTCCTGCGTTGCTGTTAGAATTTCAAGCCCCTGACAGCTTATATCCAATTTGATTTACCTGTAACACCATCGCTCCTTGTATGATACCGCGAATTGTTCGCTCCCCAACCAGGTCTTTGAGTTTCTTGATGTCTTCAATTTCAGTAACGCTTCCTTGCTGAATGACGAGGTTGACTCCAGCTTCGCGCATCTCTTTCACGAGCGCGGTCTTGCTTTCGTTATCCACACCAGACCTTGACAGTGTGGCGATGTGTTTTGCACCTAAATCTGCCAGATGCCTGACGAGTGCCTTACCAATGCCTCCTAGACCGCCAACCACAAGATATGTATGATCATCCTTCAGTTTCGTTGGCGGGAGAGGTGCGTGGCGAACCTGAGAATACATTAGTGAAATAGGCCAGACATCTTCTGAGACTAAAACATACCTTCACCTGAGAGTCATGATCGATCTGCAATATAAGTTTGCCGACGTGTTTCCTCGTCTGCATTTGACGGAACGCAGTCTCGAGCTCCGAGATGGGTAATAATGTAACAGGATGCACGGCTTGAAGTTTCTGCGTGTGAACGAGGTCGATAACGGTCCTAAGGATTTCCTGAAACTTCGACGGTATATGTTGTGCCACCATTCCCAAGTCCACCGCGGAAAAGGTTGCATTTTTTTCAAGGTATTGAGTTTCCATTCTAGCATTCGACAAGAGATCTTTCTTACCTACTTCAACGAACCGTCCAAATTGAGCAAGGCAATTTTGACTCTCACGCGTTGCATCGCCACTGAGGGAATTGAGAACCACATCCACGCCTCTGCCGTTAGTCCTTCTCTGGATTCCTTGACCAAACAAAAGTGTTCGGCTAGAGAAAATGTTCTCGTCGGAAATCCCAAAGTTCTTCTTGATGAGTGCTCTTTTCTCTGGACTGCCAATAGTAACGAATATTTCCCCAGCCTGGTAGTACTGAGCAATTGCAATAGCTGCTTGTCCTAATGCCCCAGCCGCCGCGTGGATGAGGATTGAATCTCCCTTCTTGATACAGGCCACATCCCTTAAAGCGTAGAGTGCAGTGGCATAAGAAATGGGAATGGCTGTAGCAAGTTCTAATGGCATTCCATCTGGAATACGCTGGACTTGACGATAATCGATGTTACTCCTCGTAGCGACACCTTCGGGATAGATAGCGCAGACGAGGTCACCAACTTTGAATTCACCATTTGTTGCATCGCCTACTTCAACCACGGTGCCACTGCACTCGATCAGCATTGCACTAAGGCCTGGGAGCTGGCCCATGGCATTCATAAGGTCCTTGAAGTTAAGCGCGATCATGTTTACCTCGATGCGAACTTCGTTGGCGTTTGGTTTTCGATTATGGCTGGTGCTATCGGTCCAGTACAGCGAATCTAGAATTCCTGGAGTCTGTATCTCGAGTCCCAAAGAACGCCCCGGTTGATCTAGAGATCCAACCGCTGGCTCTAGATCGTTGACAGTGTTCCGAACATAACTTTCTAGCGGATCATTTTCCACGATTCGAGGAATCAGGATCTTGTCATTCCGAATAGCATATTCGAATTCCCGGAAGTAGCCATGCTCGCTATGAGGTCGGAAAGCTTGGCCGAATATCTCAAAGACGTGTTGCGCCATATCGGCAGGGTTCTCAGTCTTAGGGTCAAGGTCAAGGGTGCAAATATTAAGTGCATGGTCTTCCGACCTCAGAGTTCTAACAAGGCCGGTAATGATGGCCTTCTCGGGCTCTGTTGCTTCAATCGCACCGCCCCTAGTGACCCAGAGGATTCCTTTAGCCTGACCGAACATCGATTTGATTTTTTGGAATTCAATCTCCGTGCAGGAACGAAGGAAGGGTGCTAGGATTTCAAGAAGTACCACACAGATCTTGTTGGAATATTCAGCTTGGCCGAGGGAGCTCTGGAGAATCTGGCGCTGCTGGTTTACAGATGTTATCAGTTTGTAGAATGCATCGGCAATGGATTTCTCCTTGTCACTGCAAATGATTTCTATTGCTGGTTGATCCTCCGAGTCAAGTCGGGCCTTGGCGGTAGATATGATCAAACTGACTTGATGCTCGTGCGCAGACTCATAGTCCTTCATCATAGCATCAATTCCGGAAAATCCAGTATCGTGGAGAAGATTGTCCCATTTCGGCAGGGCAAGTAGTGGGGAGTCAATGCGATCATCTTCAGCTCCAAGCCACCACCCAGGAAGGGCTCCAACTGTAATGTGCCAGAACATATGATTTTCCGTAATTTCCACCAGAGCGAGTTTTCCTTCTGGCTTAAGCAGGCTTCTGACGTTTTGCATCGTCTTATACATCGTCTGAGTTGCATGTAACACATTGGAGGCAATGACCAGATCGTAGCAACCTTCATCAAATCCTTGCTCCTTGACTGACTTTTCGATATCAAGCTTCTTGAACTCAACCAGTTCTCCCCAGTCCGCTAAGGTGGCTTTGCCCTTCTCAAAGAACCCACTAGAGATATCTGTGAACACATACTTGTCGAGCTTTGCCTTCCCCGCTCGACGGGTTTTTGGGTCGCCAGTCAATGCCTCCAGTGCAATGATTGACATACTCGCTGTGCCTGCGCCAATCTCTAGGATTCTCATACGGGGGTTTTTGAATTGGAGTTGACGCAGATAATTTGCAAGTTGAATGTGGCATCTCTGGATGTTCTCCATCGCATACAACTGGTAGAGCAGATCATCTTTCATCATGGCTGTTAGAGGGTCGATCTTTCCTGTAAGGATGTCGGCGAGATGATCGCCGACGTGCACCAACATCTTTCCATCAGCGCCAAGTGACTGAATATTCTCTCTTAATTTCGGATGAACTTCTGCAAGCGGATCCCGCTCTTGTGAGCGCATCCAGTGTACCAATTTCCTATGATGCGCTACCATTGAAGCCTCATCTTTGTCAGTGATGACGGCGAGCACCTGCTGTATGACATGCCGGATGTAGCAATCGAAAGTGTTTCTTCGCTCCATCGTAGGGTCAAGTTCAAGGTCAAATCGACAGAGCTGGTTGAGATCATCTTGCTTTGCACAAGCAGTATCAAGGCCCCACTCCAGCTGGCGGCACAAATTGTGTTTCTGTGACTGATTCGAGGTGCTTGATATTTCATATGTAGAGTTTGCGCGCAACCCTCTGATGCTGATCAGTGAAGGCTCTTTGAGGTATGAATCTCCAACATCAATAGTTGCCCTATACTTCAAACGTCCGAAGGGTTGAATTGTAGCATGAGCAAGGAAGCTTTTTCCGGGTTCGGAGCTGACATCGCTTGAAATGTTCAACTCTTCGATACCTGAGATAACCATACTAGAGTCCATCTTTGTCGAGGCCATTAAAGCTGGAAAGACAGTTTGGAAGCACATGTCCAGGGTGGCAGGATGCAAGACATGGGGCTGTTGGTACTTCCCAGGCATTGAAGATTTTGTTTCCGGGATTGTGACAGTACACAGCGAATCCAGTGGCTGTGTGCTGATTTGAGTGAGATTCGAAAATGGCCCAGTATAACTCATTCCAACCGACTTGAGATCGCTGTAGTATTTTCCCACATTGATCGTGCGTCGGCAGGTCTTTTGTGCATCCTCAAAACCCTTTCGGGTAGTCTCCATGTGATAAAGATCCTCTTGCGCTGCCTCAATTTCATCATTAAAGTCGCGATTTTCTACACAAACCAAACCACGGCAATGCTCAGTGTCTTTTCCCGTGGCCGAAATTGAAGAAACCCGAAATTCTTTCCAGATTGATGAAGATTCTTGAGTGGAGGATGCATAACGTCGAAGAGTGAAAAATGTTTCCACCCGAGAATTTTCAGGAATCAGTAGTGCTCTTCCAATGACTACCTCACGGAATCGACAAATAATGTTCTTCCACATCCGGCCATTCGTTATCGTCATTTGGCGAAGAGCTTCGAGAGCCATGCATATATAACCGCTAGCTGGGAATATTACCTGGTCATCAATAACGTGACCACTGAGCCAAGGCATTTCGGACGAGCTCAGGTAGTTTCTCCATGTCGGCTCCGTAGGTATGCTGTCATTGCTGGGAACGCCAAGGAGATCGTGCCTTGCAAACTGCCGGAGTCGGAACTGCGTGCTGATACGACCTTCGCTCCAGTGGGATGTTGAATGCTGCCAGTTATATACCGGCATATTCGTCAATGTCCTTTTGTCCAGGATGTTGCTCGGATCGTTGATGGAATTGAAGGAGACATGATATCCGAGGGTAAAGAGATGACCACTCATGTCGACTGCGGTCTTAACAGCGTCGTCATTTCTCGAAAGCATGGAGTGATATGACACTTTGGCCGAACTATGTGCAATGGCCTTCAGTGTCTGCTTGATTGGCCCTGCGAGCGCTGAGTGTGGTCCAACCTCCAGAATCATATTCACAGTTAAACGTGAACCATTGATGTCCTCGTCCGACAATATTAGAGCACCCTCAAGAGCCTCGGAAAATCTCACGGCAGACACCATGTTCTCAGCCCAGTACTCGGCATTCATTGCCTTGCCATGGATTTCCTTTCCGGTAACAGAGGATATCATGCGTATACCGTCATTAGACTGTAGTGGTCTCAGATCCTTCATCAGTTCGAGGTACTCTTTTCGAACGAGTCCCATATGATGGGAGTGGTACGCAACATCCACGGCGAGGAGACGGTTAAAAACACCGTCGCTTTCGAGGTCTGTTCGTATCAACTGAAGTGCAGATTTGTCGCCAGACAGAGTTACGCTCATTGGGCTGTTGATGCATGCCACCACAACCTTCACGAAAGGATCGTTTGAAGCATTCTCATCGATATAATGCTGTACTTGTTCCGCCGACAATCCCACAGCCATCATACCACCATCAAGCTCCGGGTGCTCTGTTTTCAGCTTTCCAACAGCTTGCCCTCTGAAGCAGGCAATGTTCAGAGCATCATGGTCAGAAAGAAAGCCTGCAGCATATGCTGCCGCAATCTCACCGCTCGAGTGGCCACAAACGACAGTCGGTCGAATTCCCCAAGATCGTAACAGATTTACCAGAGCAATTTGAATGGCTGTGCAGCATGGTTGCGAAATGGCAGCTTCGTTCATGCGAGATTCTCCAGGCTTTTGGGAAAGTTCCTTTAACAGCGACCACTCTGCGCCTAAGCTCGCAAGGTGTAGCTCAGCGGTTTGCATAGATGCCGCAAATAATGGATAGGTACTGAGGAGCTCTTGGCCCATGCGAGCCCATTGCGCTCCTTGGCCTAGATTAATTCATCAGTACATGATTCAAGGTTGCGCCCTACCAATCTTACCAGTAAATGCAAAGCATATCTTTGGGTTCTCAAGAGCCTTTTGGGGACGTATTATGCCTTTGGAGATAGCCTCAAGAGCATCAAGCAGTTCTGTCAAGTTGGTAGCACTCACCGCAACTCGGAATGCGAGGTAAGATCTCCGCATCGCCAGCGTATAAGCTAATTCATCGAGAAATTGGCTTTCATCCTGATCCTGAGCCCACGTCCGGAGATACTGCTTGAAATTCGTTGCCATTGTACCCATGCCGCGTTGGGCAGCATGCGTGAAAACAAACAGACGCCTCTTCTGAGGGACCTGGTCCGCATTTTCGGGTGCACGCAAGAGTTTCAATTCCTGATTTTGGGGCGAATTGCCATCGCTTAGGTAGTGAACTGATGATGTTCCGTTCGCTAGTGTTCCGTTCTCTGGTGTTCCGTTCGTTGGCGTTCCGTTCACTTGTGCTTCGCTCAAAAGTGTTCCGTTTACTGATGTTCCGTTCACTGGTGCTCCATTCACTGGTGCTCCATTCACTAGTGTCCCGTTCACTGATGTTTTGTTTACTGATGTTTCATTTACTGGCTTCACCCCGTTTGTCGTGCCTTTCGTTGTTGTATGCTCGTGGTTTGCATGCAGCTGGGAGTGTGAGGCCAAGTAATCTTCTGGTGCTTCGAGAATGACATGGGCATTTGTTCCGCCATATCCAAAGCTATTCACCGATGCTCGCCGGATGTGGTTTTCAGGCCAGGGAAGCACTTTACGTGGTATCTGTGATGAATGTAAGAAGGCATCCGCAAAGCGGGATTGTAGACACATACATTGATTTGCCAGTCATGTAGAGGAATTTGTTCGTTGGGATGGGAGAAGTTCAAATTCGGAGGAATCTTTCTGGAGTTAAGAATCATCACGCTTTTCAAAAGCCCAGCTATACCCGCAGTGCTCTCTGTATGGCCAATGTTGGTTTTGACACTACCGACGTAGAGCGGAGAATCTGATGGGCGACCGCAGCAGAAGGTGTTGAAAATAGCAGCTGCTTCAATCTTGTCTCCGACTTGCGTTCCAGTACCTATTCAAAAACATCAGTATTTGATTCTAGCATAATAGCGCCAAACATATCTTACCATGCGCTTCGACGTAGCATGTATCTCGTGGATCAAGTCCTACATCAGCATACACTTTGTTGATCATCCTCACCTGTGCTGCTTGTGAGGGCACTGTCACACTGGGAGTTTGACCGTCCTGATTAATAGCAGTGGCTCGTATCACTGATTGGATTGGATCTCCATCACGCATGGCATCTCTGAGCGGCTTCAAGACAATCGCTGCCACGCCTTCGCCTCTACCGAATCCATTGGCTCGATTGTCAAAAGAGTAGCAGCGGCCATCGTCAGACAAAACTCTAATTCAGCTTTAGCCCTCAAATCAGACACAAACAGGTATTCGCCTACATACTGCATTGACGACATGACGGCGATTTGCTCAGGATCAAGTATTAGATTGGTCCCACCTACAAGCGCTTGATCAATTTCGCCACTTCGGATAGCCTTGCAGGCTTGGTGTACTGCTACGAGGCTGCCAGAGCAGGCGGTATCTATGGTAATGCTAGGACCATTCAGATCAAAGTGGTATGATATCCGGTTTGACGCAAGTGCCGTGCCTGTGCCTATGAATCGGTGACTGTTGCAACGCACTATTAGCCATTGATACGGCCAATTATCCACATCATTTCGACTTGAACTGTCTTGCTGAAACGTACTTCGGAGAGAATTCTGGGTCTCTGCTCTGCATTCTCTCATAATCATTATTTGACACTGCGCAGTAGACACCCGTCTCTGAAGATGCAAGTGATTCGATCGATATCCCCGCATTCTCGAAAGCCTCGTAGGCAACCTCAAGCAGTAGCCTCTGTTGAGGGTCAATGGCCTGCGCCTCAAGCGGACTGATGCGGAAAAACTGATTATCGAAATGAGACACGTCCTGCTTTAGAAGGTATAGGCCTCTTGCGTTGAACTGAAATCAGATCAGCGTGTATACAACCAACAGGGCAACAGTCATTCATCTAACATACCGCTCCTCTCAGTTCTTTGGAAGGGTGATAAAAGGAGTCCATCTTGAATCTCGAGTTGTCTCCGCGGGACCATCCTGATTGTCCTCTCGTTAGCATTTGCCACAGCCTCTGTGGAGAAGTTGCTGTTCCAGCCAGGCGGCAGCCCATGCCGATGACGGCAATTGGCATAACAGAGATATTTTCTGTTCCATCTGAGCTGTTGGTCTGCCCGGAAGCATTCAAATGCGCTTGTGTGGTCCGAGTCATTGTGTGTAAAGATGTAGGTGCTAAAAATATCCTAAAGCTTTGGAGCAATGGTTTTTGTTTCTCTTCTTGTGTTTGGTGATCTTTGTTGTTCTACTTGAAAAATCTGATGGGGAGATGGACTGTGAGCATATCTATATCCCCTCTAAGTTACTTTCCTAGAGCGCTTCTTCTGCTGCAGCAGAATAGCTGGCCAAGCAGCGCTGGTCAAGTTTCGTTGTGATTTGATCTTCCCCTTTTTAGCGAAAATCCCGAAAGAAAGCCGGTATACCCCAGTCGCGGCATGATAGCTCGTGTTGCTTATCATGGATGCCTAGTATAGATCTTTGCATTACAGTGTACGTAGCGTAAGCTTATAGCGCGTAAAGTCCTAGAGTCCTTTGATCCTACAGGGCTTCTTGCGCTATAGAGTTTACACAGGCTACTACGTAGGGGTTTACGTAGGCTAAGGCACAGCCTAAAGGAACCTGTAAGCATGGGGTGTTATAGGGCTGAATGAGCATTATATATAGGCACTCACTGTAGAATTAGAGAATCCATCACTGAAATCCAACAGCTCGCAAGGGGATACCCAAGAGAGAGAGAGATAATCAATAAACTACCTTTATCTTCATGCAACTGCGGGAGTGCTCATACATCTCCCATATTACTTACCCACTTGAAGGGGTTCCCTGCTCAACCGACCACCCTACGCAGGTGCAGGCCCTGATGTTTGTTACACCGCCTTTGCAGGGGGTTGCGCTGAAGCGCCCCGTAGCATACGCTGTAACCGAATGTTGCTCGGCAGAATCCAAGGCGGTGTGACGAACGTTAGGGCCTGCACCGCGTACCCAACCCCACTCAACCCACCACCTAGGAACACCAAAAATTTCGAGTTTTTTTGTCAAAGTGCTTGGAAATCGCTGACAGCTAGTGTTTTAAGTTAAGGAAAAGTCAAGCATTCCGAATATTAATTTGCTTTTATGAATTAATGTCGTTGTGATATTATTTAGGTTTTCGTTCATGGTGGTCGGTTGAGCAAGGAACCCTTTCTACCGAGCCATGTTGCAACCAAGCCAGGGTTCGCATCCTTCGCTCCCCACGATGCGCCTCGGCTCGTGCCGCTAAGCCACTTCATCAAGGATTCTAATCTGGCTCTTACATGAACCAGCATGTCCCGCAGCGCGACTGGCGCATTCGTGCAAGCTCAGAATGGTTAGTGTGTGATAGACACGCGATGGGTCGTTGGAACTACAAAATAGATTGTGGGTGGCGCCGCTGCTACCTTACTCCGTAAAACGGCCTGTAGGTAGTACTTTCGTACAGGCCCAAATAATCGTATATTTTCTGTCTGTGCTCCTCTCAAAGGTTCTACGTAAACAAGGGGGCGATCAACCAAGAAGCACCCTCTATTTCATCAATTATTACTGCTTGCAGTTTAAATATATTTTTGACGCACAGACGAAAAGAGTACGATTTGTTAGGCCTATAGGAAAGTAGTACGAAAAGTACATCTCCGATCGGATCAGGGGGGCAACAATATCCTTACGATTGTTGAGCTATGATGTAAATTACGAAGCTCCAAGGCCTTTAGATAAGATGATTGAATTCGCCGCCACCTCACTGCATGTCAGCAAAGCATGCCTGAAAATAGGTAAGACCATGCGCCGCATGGACAGCTCGCGAAACTACGTAACGTCTACACGAATCAACCAATGTCCTTTCCTTATTTTCTTAGTAAACAGAATCGTGCGAGATACTGTGGTTTGAGTGCTCGCTATCGGCTTCCGGCAGCGGGAGGGATAACTCGACCTACCAAATTGGGATTGATTAATTTAATATGATCATAATCCCTGGAAACGCAAAGCAGGAACATACCATCCCATTTCTGATACCAATGCCGTCGCATCATGACAGAGGTAGAACCAGAACTCGGCAAAAACTTCAGACGAGCCGGCTCAGGAGGCAAACAATAGAAAAGGGTCTCCTTTTCCCGTTCTCCGCCACTATCTGCACATGAAGCAGCAATCAACTACTCCTGTTTCTCCAATACTCCGCGAGACACTTCTAAAATGGCTACGACAGAGACTTTCGTGCGACCGATCACTCAACTAGTGGCCGAGACAATGACACTTTCGCCGTTTGACCAGTTTAATGGCAGACATTACTTGCCACTCTTTTCGATCTTCAAGCAGCCAGACCACAAACTCTTCGACGTAATAATTTCCGAACTGGAAGAGGGCCTTGCCAGACTGTTGAGCGAGATACCCTTCCTCGCCGGCAACGTGATCATAGATGACGAATCACGTGACCTTCTCACTCTGGAAATCCCCGAGGATGGAGGAGTACTTCTCAAGATCAGGAGAATGGCAGATGCCGATGATGGCCCAGTGCTGGATTTTGAAGAAATGGAGCTCGGCGGCTTTCCTGTGTCTGCGCTCAATCCTGCGGTTATGTGTCCAAGGTCGTTTCTGCCTGATGCCACTGCCCCTTGCATGCAGATCCAAGTCAACTTGATTCGTGGCGGGTTAGTTCTCGCGATGCATTTCCATCATTCGGTTGTTGACGGAGAGGGTGCTATGGCGATAATCAATCAATGGGCTAAGCATGTTAGGGCTGTGTCTGATTGTCAAATTCTGCCCGAGTCCGACTTACTACCAGCTGAAGCTTTTGACCGCACCGTCCTCTTTCCTGAGAACAGTTCCCGATCTAAGCTCTGTGACTTCGCTAGCTTTCAAGATGGGCGTGATATGTCCCCGGACGGAGATTCGTGTTGGAATGTGGGTGAGCGTATGGAGGTGACGGGCGCCAAAATTGCCAACGGGGTAAGCTGGTATTTCACCAAAGAGAATCTCCGGCACATCGAGGAGAAGGCAATGCCCAGGAACCCAGACGATCCCAAGATGACGGAAAGCTCAGTACTCTCGGCGTTCGTTTTCCGGCATTACACTCTTGCGAGACGCCTGGAGCGGCAGGGCATCGATGAGGCATCATATCACTACCCTTGCAACATCCGCTCACGAATTGAGCCTCCGCTTCATCCCCAATACCTGGGTAACTCTGTTGTTCCCAGCAGAACGCTTTTGCCCCTCTCAGAAATTTTCTCTTCGGACGAAGATGCGTTGTATCGCATTGCCTCCGCCATCAGCAGCAGCATCGACTGGTGGTCCTCGGACAAGATTTGGGAACTCCTGGGCGCGATGGAAGCCTGGCCGCGTGTCGGAGATATTGAGCGTACTATGGATCTCAATTGCAAGACCGACTTCCATCTCACCAATCTGTCGGCTTTCCCTATATTGGACAATTACTGGGGTCCCAAAATGGGTTCCATGATCTCTTTCAGGCTTCCAGCCATGGCTTTGATGGATGGTTATGGTCTCATCATGCCGCGTTATGCTGATGGTGGGTTGGAGGTCATTCTTTATATGAATGCAGACACGCTAGAAGTGCTAAAGGAAGATAAGGAGTTTACGCAATATGCTCGATTTGTTTCTGACTAGCCTTATTGTCTCATAGAACTGACATCCCTGCGAGGCGAAAGTCCCGTAGCAAATCTGAATATTCGACTAAATCACAATTATCTCAACCTAAAATAATGTTATTTAATTCGTAATGCTCTAACCGTATAACTAATGTGTTCTAATTACAATATGTGTATTTTCTTTCTAGAGAACTTATATAAAGGTTTATTAATTGTGTTTTAATTAATTATTATATTATAATTTATGTAATAGCAGAGCGGAGCAATAGATATAGGTATAAAGATCTCTTTTCCTGTCTTATAAAATCTAAAGCTAAGGAGAGAAGGAGAGATTGAGTTGTGGTAGTGGATATATAAGTAAGGCTAAAACCACTAAAACGCCGAGCTTAGCCTAAACCTTAGCTAAAACTAATCTGTAGTAACTATAGAACGCCAGCCGTTATAACATATTTCTTTATATCGCGTTTTGCCTCTGCCTTAGTAATGTTTTCAAAGCTTAAAACTATTATAATATTAAAGAAGAGCAGGTATATTAATTTATAACATTTGGGTTTGTTTTATTTAAAGAGGTATAAATTATTATTATTATTATTATTATTATTATTATTATTATTATTATTATTATTATTATTATTATTATTATTATTATTATTATTATTATTATTATTATATAATTATATTATTATTATTATTATTATTATTATATTATTATTATTTATTATTATTATTATTATTATTATTATTATTATTATTATTATTATTATTATTTATTATTATTATTATTATTATTATTATTATTATTATTATTATTATTATTATTATTATTATTATTATTATTATTATTATTATTATTATTATTATTTATATCCGGCGGGATATTAGTAAAACTGGCTACCTCCTATAACTTCCTATAGGATATGGGGACGTGCTAAGCTATGAATTTATTATATAAAAGTATAATTATAGAAAGTATTTCTAGTATAAGCAAATATACTATAAGGCTTATAACTACCTACCTCTCCGGCCGTTTGAAGTAGTAGCAGATTATATATAAGAGAGATATTCTCAAGAGTTATTTAATAAAGTATAAGAGTATATGGCTAAAAGGCCCGATTCAGAGCTAAAATAAAGAATATAGCGAGTTTCGAGGGCTAAGAAACCCGGAATAATATAAAGAAAAGCAGTATAAGTTATATAGTAGATAAAGAAAATCTCTAATAGAGACTAAAATAAAATATCTCAAAGCCTAAAACTATTTTTAAATATATATATAAATGCAAATCTTTTCGGAAAAGGTATTATACTAATCCAGAAGGTATTTATAAAGCAAGAGCCTAGCTTACTATATAGATCCATATATATATATATATATATATATATAAGAGCATTTATATAGCAGTCCCTAATTATAGCTTAGTAAAAATATATTTTAGAGTAAAACTTTATAATAATAAAAAGGTTTATAAAGTTTTCGGGCTTATTAAGTAAGCTAGAGAGATAACTAAATACTTCTATAATTATAGATAGTAATATACTAAAATGTGGCCTTTTGGGCTAGTATATAAATATCTTAGCTATTTTATAATAGTAAATAATATACTTCGGGTTCTTGAGGTATTTATAAAAGCAGGTAAATATAGTATTAGTATAGTTAAACTTTTGGTAATACTAAAAGAAATCCCTATATATAAAGTATATTACTAGTAAATAATATAAAATAGAATATAAGAGCTCGAGTTCCGGTAGTAGTTTTACCTTATAGTCTAGTTTCTATTTCTTATAATATACGGAAAGTTTAGTATTATACTAAGCCTATTAGGTATTCTATACTTCTCTATAATACTATCTAATAAGCCTAATAATAGTAGTCTATATATTTAGAGCATTTTACTAATAAATAAAAATTTGAAATATATAAATCTTTAAAAATTAATTAATTAAATTATATTTAGATTACTTTAGTTCTTAAATTCTAAATATTAAATCATAACTATTATTTATTATCTTATAACCTTTAAGTATTTAAAGAGACTTTAGTTTTCTAAAGCCTATAAGCGAATTTTTAAAGCCTGAAAATATCTGGAAAATGCCTTATATATATAGACTACTATTAGTAGGCTTATAAAAATTAAACGAATTCCGCTTACTATTAGTTCTAATACGAGACCAGAGTTATAGCTTTAGAAAGTACTAATATTAGTAAAGCTTATTTACTATTTCGTTTCTTTTAATTCCTATATACCTAAGGGCCTATTTAATTTTAATATTATAGGGTTATATTATTCCCTAATAGTTATAAAAAGCCTATTATAAGAATTCGAAGGCATTATCTTATAAATATTAGATAACTAAAATACTATTTATATAAAGTATAATATAATATTAGTTAACTTCCGGAAAAAGGTTCTTAATTATATAATAAAGACCTTCCCAGATACTAATAATCTTTATATTAAAGACGTGAGAAAGTATATTAATAAAGCTATAGCTCTTAGTAATTTAGTAGTTATTCTAATAAATAATCTATCTATATCTAATAAACTTTATATCTTATTTATTTTTCTTAGATTTGTTTAAGAAAATTATAATATTCTCTAATAAGAAAGCTATTTACTAGATTTTAAAGTTAGCTAATACTATTACTTTATTAACTTCTTTTATAAGATTAGTATAATAGCCGGGAGAGAAATATAGTATTATTAGCCTAGAATATAAGATACTAGAAAATAGAACTTCTAATTATTAGATCTTTATTTTAGGGCATTAATTAGTACTAGTTAGTATCTTTATTTCTAATTATTAGTAATAAAGTAATTTATTAAATTAGAGGATATTTTTTATTAATTATTTAAAGCTATATTATAAAGTATAGTTTTAATTCTTTAAATACTATAATAGCTAAAAGAAGTTCAGAATCCCGAAATAGTATAATTATTAAAGTAATTCTCTATACTAGTAAAACTTCTTAATAAGTAAAAGTAAGAGTTTTATTAATTATATTAATATACTATTTATTTCGGATACTAACTATTAGATTCCGGTTTTACTAATATATATATAATAGTTTAGTATAGCCTATATATTAAGCCTTAGTATTATAAAATACTAAAAGTAAAATATAGGTTATAATAGCTTTCCTTAAATATAATACTAGTAGTTCATTCTTAATTCTAGTAAGGCCTCGAATATAGCCCGAGACTTTATAGGCTTTTATAGTTTATTTAATAATATAGTATTTAAATATAAGCTTATAATTAAACCAGATGCCTAGCTAATAAAGGGCAGGCTAATTACCTATTTTAGGAATAGTAATAATTAGCTTAATTATAAGATTTTTATTAACTATATATAATAATAAATTATTATTTTATTTATTAGATAAATAAATTATCTCGAGCTTTTTAGGTATAAAAAAGATCTTATTCTTCTTTTTATAAGTAAGAATATTACGAATATTAGAGGCTAGAAAATTAATATTAGTATCTAGAAAATATAAGATATAATATAAATATATATTATTAGTATATCCAAAATATAATTCGAAATCTTATAAAATAAGTTTAGCTAGATAAAGTATATAAATAACTAGTAATAATAGAAATTCCTGAAAAGTATTATATTTAATATTATAATAGCTAGTAGTCTTTTTCTCGAGCCTAACTCTAACTTTTTAATTTATAAGAAAGCTATAAATAAATTAAAATAAAAGCAATAGCTAGCTTTATTTAATTATATAAGTAAGAAGCCTTTTAATAAAAAAAAGTATTAAAAGTACCTTAAATATCTATAGTAATTATTATTATCTATTTACTGGCTACTATAATAACTTTAATATTATAAGTAAAGATAATAACGAGGTCTATTACTAAATGCTTTAGAAAAGCGCTTCTATATTATAAAAAGAGAATATTATAAATAAAGACAGTTTAGGCTATATATCTAGTAATAATTCTTTTAAGGCCCTTTAAAATATATAAGAATAATATAATAGATCTCTAGAATTAAATAAAGAACTTATTCTTTTTTTCGACTTTTAATAATATAGCTACTTTAATAAGTTTCTATAATTATAGGAAATAGTTAAAGACTAAATACCGGCTATAGAGGCTATAGATAATATATTTAATAATATTCTAGTATAACCTAAATAGTCTAATTATAATGTAGTTTATTTTAGAAAAGGTACTTAATATATTAATAATATACTATTCTATATTTTTAATAAAAATAATTTAATTTCAGGAGAGATTTCTAGTTTTATTTTAATTATTAAATAGATTCTATTTAAGATTATTAGCTATATTAAAGCGGCCGAGAACTTCCGTATAAAGAGCCTCTGCCTTTTATAATACATCTTTAATTCAAATACTATTAATTTCTAGTAATAGGGCTTTAAGGTTAGAAACTAGTTTATACTAGCTAATAATCTTATAAAGGTCTTTATTATTTTTAATTCTATTAATTTGCTATTTCTAGTATTTCCGTTTGATTTTATAGACTATAATTAGGAAATCTCGGATTTCTTGAGGAACTTTACTTATATAGACTCTATTATATACTAATAAGTAAAGTTAATAGGCTTTTTTATATTCTAGTATTTACTAGATAACTGGATTACCTTTACTATAGTCTGGCTTATTAATTATCTGAATTAACGAGCTAAGGACCTCTATTAGTACTTTTATATAGCTATTAAGCTATCTAGAGCTTGTAATATTCCAGGAATCCGGAAATCTGGCTAGGCTATTATTAACTAGTCTAGTAAACTTAGAGAAATTATATTCCGGAATCCGATATTAGAATTAGTTTAGAGGAACTATATCTTAACTAGAGATAATAGTAATCTATATCTCATAATTCGAGCTATAGTATAGATTAGTTCGGATTAATATATATATAAAAGAAATATTTAAGAATATAAAGTTTAGAATATACCTAAATTTTTAAATAACTATTTCCGGTATTTTAATAAAGTTTATACCGCTATTTAAGAACTAGTATACTAGTTCTATTTCTTAGTAAGCTAGTTAAATTCCGGATTCGAATATATTATATTATATATTAAAGTTACTCTCTATTAAATAATTAGGA